CCTTGGGAAGGACTTGATAGGTGGATAAAAATGCCAAATCCAGTCTAAAAATCTGGCTGACTGCAACCAACTGTAATAATAATATTTATATGTCACCTGACTCCCAGCAACTGGAAGGGGACAAGATATCTAAGCAGACTCCATCCTTGCATCATTAACAATTATACACTTAGTTCTGAAGAATAAGCACTTTGATACAGTCAATTCATACCAACCTTATAAAAATGGAGGGCCAAGCAAGACATATATTATAACCAAAATAATCCTAGAACATACTGGTGAGCAAGTGAAGTACCCTTCCTCCATTTATATTCATGTATTTATATTTATATTTTCAGTTCTTTAGCCATTATGGACTTATCTGTTCATCAACTCATGTTAAAATACAGTGCAGTTGTGCTGCTGTTTCAAAAATACAAATTGCATCGTTAATGATTTCATTATTATTTAGTGGCTGGATGTATTGTATATGAAATAATATCCAATTCAAAATAATTCCGGGGGAAGTATCTGGAACTTGAGTACAATTTCCAGGATTGGATTTAGTCCTTTCATATACAATTAATCAATTCTTTTCAAAATACAAAGGTAGTCCTCATTGAACAACCACTTATTCAGCAACTGAAGTTATGACAGTGCTGAATGAGGGGGATTTGCAAAGGCTCCTCGTAGTTGCGGCCATCGTAGTTGTGGCCATCATATGTGAACATGATTCAGGCGCTTGGCAACCAGCTCGCGATCATGATGTCACAGCATCTCATGGTCACATGATCGCCCTTTGTGACCTTCACTGCTGACTTCTGACAAGTGAGGTCAATGGGGAAGCTGGCAGGAGGTTGCAAAGGGCGGTCATGTGACTGTGGGATGCTGCGACCATGTGGGATTTGCCTAACGATGGCAACTGGTACTGCTGCAACTACCATCATAAGTCAGCCTGGTCACATGACATCATGCTTTACGACTATGTCACTTAGTGACAGAGTTTCCAGTCCCAATTGCCATTGTTAAACAAAGACTACCTGTATTAACTTCCCTGAAAAGCCAGCCTTTGCAATGGCGACTAATAAATCCTTGGCTGAAATATATTTGCATTATGTAATTGTTACACAAGTACAATTATATGTCAAGTTTTCAAATAAATTAACTTCTGAATATAAAAGTTTGTATTAACTCCAGCGATACAAAGAACGTTTACTGGAGGAGGAGGAGGAGGAGGAGGAGGAGGAGAGATAGATAGATAGATAGATAGATAGATAGATAGATAGATAGATAGATAGATAGAT